GAAGTGCTCCATCCACATCGGTTTCTATGGTGAATCTAGGAGAGACAGGTGAAGTACAATAAGTAGAATGACTAGTACCAACTTGGAGCTGAAGCTATTGAACGTTTGGAAAAATTACAGTGTTACACTGGTGTCCCCCGCCGTGATATTGCTGGAATATTGCTAAAAGCGGCGTAGAACCATACTCACTCACATTGTTACAGAAGGGTCTGGGGCCGATCGAAAATACAAACTTTCCCAGAAAATGCTTGAAGTCAATAATTATACTTCAGCCTGCCACACATCTTGAACTGTAATGCGCATGCGTCAACTTCGAAAGACGTGCTCCACACGAGCTCTCGCTTTGAGCCAAAAAAGCGGTGAAAAAACTGCAACCATGGATCAACTTTGTTCACTTAAAGTCTCTTTGGTACCATGTGACCATATTGTGGACGAAATTGAACTTTTGCGAATTATTAAACTTGTAAATATGTGTAAGAAAAGCTTAACTTTCCGATACCTGAATCTCTCCACACGATTCGGCTCACGAACTCCACCAGCAGATGGTGCACGTCTCTTGATACAAATCAACAACAACTCTCTCATCATGGAGGGGTCATCATATTGGCTGCTTCTCTCCTATTAAGCAACCTAACATCTCCAAATCATGGGCAAGTCGTATTACTGAAACTTTAATGAGCAGGCAAGTAAAGATTTTGTTAATATTGAGTTGTTGTTTTTTAGTTGAATAAGAAGTTCGACCATGTCTATAAGGAATTAAGAGATGATAATGACGTTTTGAAAGGTGAAAATGGTGAGCTAAAAGCTCAGCTGATTAAACTTAAAACCGTGTTGAACAAACATGAAGCCCAAGGTCGTCGGAGCAACGTTGTGATTCATGGGATTGATGGTTCACCGTCAGAAAGTTGGAATGATGCAGAAACTGTTGTGCGTGATTTCCTGGAGAACACTGTGGAGCTCGACAACTCACAGTCCGTTCAGATCGAACGTGCCCACCGCCTTAAATCGAGACATAGAGTAAAACCTATACTAGTCGAGTTCAGTTTCTTCAAGGACATACTCACTGTGCTGGAAGTTGCTAAAGAGAAAGTAAAAGATAAAGAGGTGAGGTTAAATGGGGTTTAACGTCGCGTCCAAGATTATTGCACTTATATAGCGACGTGCATGCACATGTGTGTGTGGCTACTTGAACTGGTCCGGATAAATGCCGCAGTTTAACATGAATACCCCACTCAGACACCGTATACTGTGTATACAGCTGCTGTGAAGAATGTAGGGCGTTATTCTTGGGGAGGGGTGGCGGTGATGGCTGTGTTTATTCGTCGTTGTATTTCTAATTGTTTCACAAGGGGTCATGAGGAGTTGGTGAACTCTGTATTTTGTGGTGTTTCATCACTGACAATCCGGAGAACTATTATAATGGGATTACCGTATTCGACGTAATAAGCGCCCCGCTCCAATAAGCGCCCACGGCGATATTTGCTAATATATTGGCAAGTGAACAATCCCAATTAGAACCCCTTCCAATTGATCATTGTACACAAGACTTATTTATTCGCGTATAAGACACTCTCGTGTGTTATATGCACCCTTAATTATGGGCAATATAATTCATGAAAAATATATCTGTCGTACATAAACATTTCAGGCTGTCAGCATAAATCACGAAATTTATCTTTCAACTCTGTTATTTTTCCACCAAAATAATATTCTAATAACAGCCCCCTTTTCCTAATTTTGAGAGCGCCCTGAGCGCTTATTACGTCGTATACGGTAGTATACATCCTGTCCGAAATTTCACCGTTATACAGCATGGATGAAAATAACGGTATTGAGGACCTTGACACTTACATAGCTACAATTTAAGTGAGTGAGTATGGTTTTAAGCCGCTTTGAGCAATATCCCAGCATTATCACGGCGGGGGACACCAGTAATGGGCTTCACGCATTGTACCCATGTCGGGAATCGAACCCGGGTCTTCGGCGTGACGAGCGAACGTTTTAACCACTAGGCTACCCCTATGGAACCGAAATTTAAATTTTGTTATGAGGTGATTTGAACAATGCACCCACAGGATACAACTGGACATCAGCTCAGTGACATTTATATACACATGGCAATTAACAGTTTTCAATGCCTTTGTACGACGACAACGTGTGACTATCGAGCTCCAAAATTTCATATTGGTATCTTTGATAGTAAATTAGATATATCGACTTTATTAAACACAATAAAGTTACTAAAAATCTACCTGTGCGTTTCTTTTTTTGAAGAGTGTACATGGAGTGAATAACTGACATGACTTTTCCTCGAATTCCGATTATCGACGATTTATTCCATAACTTATATCTATCCACAGAATCAAAGACCCACCGAAAATCAATAAAAGCCCAGTAAAGACGTTTTGGGGCATTTAAAGCTTGACCAATCAGTGAATGTTGTGAAATTATGGCATAAACTATGGTACTGAGCTTTGGTTGAAGGCCAAGCTGAGCATCTTTTACAACAGTGTCATGAGGCGACCGCGCTAGAGGCCGCTGATAAATAATGGATGTGAATAATTTCCCGAAACAACTCACAAGACGGAGTCCTCGATAGTTGTGGGGAACACTGGCGTCGCCTTGGTTGAAAACAGGAAAAGTCACTGCTGAAGACCACTATTTAGCAAATGTAACCAGTTGATAAGACACATTTAAATATTTTGGGCAACAATGGTAATTAATACATTATATATTCAATAAAATATTCATTTAACATAGTGTCTGATCCAGGAGATTTATCACGCTTGAGAGAATTAATAGCCCTTTCGATCTAACCGTGACTGAGCTACAGTCGCCAGAAGCTGCAAGACCTATAGATTGTTCGTAAAAGTCATCATAGGGGGCACGGGTGGCCCAGTCGTCTAAGGCGCCGCGATTCGCTGTGCAGAGTTGCGTCCCAACCTAAGATTGTGGGTTCGAATCCCGGTTCGCCCCGATTATGTTTCTAGGTTTGTCAGCATCATACCCGTGCTCGTAGGTTTCACCGAAGTGGTAAACGTCTGAGACCTGCATCACTTCGGGCTTTCCTCCCACATTAAACTGACACGCCGTGATATAAATGGATTACTGTTGAAAGCGGCGTTAAACCCAACTCACTCACTCATGTCGATATGACAGCCTGGAGTCGACACACATGTGATTTAAAAAAAAACAGTGACTGCACGGTCAGGACCAAGGCTGATCTACCAATCAAGAGACCCGTGAAGATCCGGGTTAGAATAGGTCTTCAGCAACCGATGCTTGCCGTAAAAGAAGACTATGCTTGTCGTAAAAGGCGACTAACGGGATCGGGTGGTCAGGCTCGCTGACTTGGTTAATGCATGTCATCGATCCCAATTGCGCGGATCGATGCTCATGATATTTATCACTGGACTCGATTATTTACAGACCGCCATCATATAGCTGGAATATTTCTGAGTGCGGCGTTAAACAACAAACCAAACCCAAAAAAACCCAATCAAGATGGCATGACAGCCTGGAGTCGACACACATTCGAAATTGACAATACTTGTAAATGCACTTGCCAAGTTCAAGGCCAAGTCCGTGAATCTGCTGGACGCAACTCTGCACAGCTAATCGCCGCGCCAAAGACAACTTGGATGCGTCGCCCGAGGTTGAAGTTACAATAATTTGAAACATTTCAGACATGAAGATCAAACAGTCGATTACTCTTACACCTTGTGAACCGCTAACAGTTAAATCATTAGCCTTGCTATCTCCTTGTCGTCCATTTACTATTCCAAGTCTTGCAGTAAGCTGTTTACAAAATTGTTTTGTCCAGTATTAGGGTTAACGAAAGATGTGTCTCCATCGTACGACTCTACTGTATCCAGATGGTCCATCACATGACTGTGTAACTTACCATTATCGATAAAATCATTGTTGTTTCTTGTTCTGGTCTTGAAATATCCGAGTAGGCACACAAGAGACATATACTTTCATATGGCTTTCAAGTTCATGGAATAAGTCGCAGTTATACTGCTTATAAACTGAAGAGTTATTGGGTGGCAAATAAACCAAAGCACGGTGTAAAAATCTAAACATAAACGGTGCCAAAATGCAGGAAAAAGCGTTTAAGAGCGTGTAACTTAAAAACTTCTGGAGGGGGAATGCATGGTACTTTGGTTTTGCTTTTACTTAAAAAAATATGACATAGTTGCGCCCCTGCAGGATGATTTCTCTGGGTTTGTATTCATAAGAAACCTGAAGCAAAATTACACGGGAACATGTTCCCGATACGCCCAACACTCTCCTAAATACGGCCCCTGCTCGCAGTCACGGAAGTAAACAAATAATCTCCGCGCTCAATGGCGTCGAGTGCTGTGATTGGTCCGCGCTCCAACCATAACAAACACACATGGGGATATTTACCAATCAGAGCGCTCAGGGACATTGAGTGCGGAGAATGGAGAATCGTCAGTCCTCGCTCACCTGTATCTGGTAAGGTACACGTACACGGCCCCCGCGTCAAAGGGCGATTAAATAGGTTCGTTTTGGAGACCTTTTACTTTCGGGAGTGAAGGTAGCAGGGTGTTTTTTGCTTTTTTGTTAAATAGATCTATACTTTGAATCCAACTTCGCTCTTTGTGCTTTATCTGTAGTTAGAATTGGTAACCCGGTCAGGAGCCTCATAGAACCCATAGACAAATAAGAATACTGCACATGGAGAACAGAACACAGCGCAAAGTACTGCAGTAAAACATCAGACTTTTTGTCAACTATTTTTATAGTTCTACTGTCACAGGGTGCTTTTTACAGGCTTTAGAGGGTATTACAAGCTATTACAGATTTGGTCCCGAGACGAGTATCGGGTTATATTTATTTCAATTTCTAGTTATAGTCTGTTTCTGAAAAATACTATTTAAAAAATGTGAAAATATGACTGAAGGTTAAGGTTTAAATTCGTCATTTTTGTCTGGACTGACGATGATCAATTTCTTGGTAGTGCCGGTGTTAATCCACAGGAACCACTCATCGATTTGTTGCTGCTCTGAGGGCAAACTGTGCACACACGTACAGGTAATAACTGTTGAATGCCTTATTATTTTAAAAACAAAATATAACGTAAATACAGAAGTCTATCAGAAAAAATTTGGTTGGTAGCAGTGTTGTGTGTTGCTGTAGAGTGACAGGCGTTTCTCCCCTGTGTGAGGCTGTTGATGCACAGTGTCCCAGCACATGGCAGTGTTGTGTGTTGCTGTAGAGTGACAGGCGTTACCTCCCCTGTGTGAGGCTGTTGATGCAGTGTCCCAGCAGGTGGCAGTGTTGTGTGTTGCTGTAGAGTGACAGGCGTTTCTCCCCTGTGTGAGGCTGTTGATGCACAGTGTCCCAGCACATGGCAGTGTTGTGTGTTGTTGTAGAGTGACAGGCGTTACCTCCCCTGTGTGAGGCTGTTGATGGACAGTGTCCCAGCAGGTGGCAGTGTTGTGTGTTGCTTTAGAGTGACAGGCGTTACCTCCCCTGTGTGAGGCTGTTGATGCACAGTGTCCCAGCAGGTGGCAGTGTTGTGTGATGCTGTAGAGTGACGGGCGTTACCTCCCCTGTGTGAGGCTGTTGATGCAGTGTCCCAGCAGGTGGCAGTGTTGTGTGTTGTTATAAAGTGACAGGCGTTACCTCCCCTGTGTGAGGCTCGTGCAAGCTCCTCACAGCGATAGTACGTTCCCGGAGCTCTCTATACTATCGCTGCCACCAGTCAAAACTCCCCACTGTGAATAGGTGGCCACAACCATGCTTGGAGTTGAACTCGCAACCGAATGACCGTTATGTTTACAAACAAGTGACGACTGTCGTGACGCCGAATACACTTATCGCTGCTAAATACTTTCTTCGTTTGTCAATTTGAATTTCTGTTTCATTAAAACTATCATGTTATTGATACAGTCAGAATGTAAGGGAGAAGTTGGTTGATTTTCCGTTAGTCTGCAATCTCGAACCAATCTGATTATCAAAACAACAAAGTAAATTCATCTGGAAAACATGGTCAGTCGTAAACCTTTTCAAATTGAAATATGATGGCATTCCCAAAGACATAAACAAAAGTATAAACGTTACTACATATGGGGTTGGAGGGTAAATTTCAAGATTCTTGAAATGGCAGCGCCCACACTGGTGGCAGGGATTTTACCGAGAGTGTAACGAAGGTGTCACGCGCTGGGAAGGAGCTTGAGGCTTGTGATGCAGTGTCCCAGCAGGTGGCAGTGTAGCAGTGATGTGGGGAGCGGGAGAAGTTGACCTATTGAAGGAGGGTGTTTTCATCAATATCGATGACATATTTAAGCCATCAGTAGATTTATTATCAAAACTGACATCCACTCCTGATTGGTGAAATTGTATCCCAATGCTTTGCAGGCAGTTGTGACGTCATCGGTTACCATGACACCAGAACCACTAACCTCTCTACAACCAAAGCTGGTTGGCTGTACTTTTAACATTCGTGACAATGGTTATTTCTGTTTACAAACTAATTATGTTCATAAAAAGATTTTGGGTAAAAAAATACAATATCACCTCTGTCAGAATTTTGTACTTTTATCAACAAGTGTTGATATTAAAAGACACGGGCTAGATTTTCTGCACACTGATAGTTGATCAAGCATTGAATATATTAGTTCATATTGACATCTCTCGGCTCTCATTAGTTTCAAAGAATGATCAAGTATAATTAACTGTGACATATCTTTCTGACCAAATGCAGTCAAGGCTCTGACGACCTCAATTCACCAGCCAAACAGTGGGCAAATATACATTTATCAGTTTCTGAGGAGTACTCAGACAAAATATGCAGATGTAAACGTGGTACAGACTTAGATACATTCAGTTGAGAGCCTTCACAAAATGTCATCGGTATAATGGTTGACACATTTCAATTTATGCACTTCGTGTATGTTCTGTGCTTCATGTCCCTTTTCAGTGTAAGTTTCAAAAGGTTCACAATTGTGTTGAAGACCTGAAATCACATTAATGCTTGTAATCAGGTTATTGTAACTGCGGTTTTTCCATATTTAGGAAGAGGAGAAACACTGTCAGAGAGATGGCGGAGTCATCAACACCTGAGGAGATGCTGTCCTCTTCTGAATCATCAGGTAATTCTAAACACATCCAACGTTGTTTTGAATAGATCAAATAAAACAAATAGTAATAGATTATTTTGTCCGTGATGGTCCACGTTAGAACTATTTTGAAGAAGAGACAAGATGCATTATTTTGATAATTTTGCCATTATCTAAGCAGTGTCAGCTTTGTATGTGTACCTGATTTTCATTTGTTTAACCTCAACCAACCAAATAAGAAGGGTTATATCTTGTTTATGCCTGGTACATGTGAAATATTGTTGTTGTTTTCAAGGTGAAGTCCCAGTACACATGCTTGCTCATAACCGTGAGTGTACAGTTTGTTAAGTTGATATTCTGTGTTTCTGTTAATCACTGATACAAAGTAATTATCTGTACGTATCTGTATCGGCCCGTGAAGATCCGTGGTAGAATAGGTCTTCAGCAACCCATGCTTGCCGTAAAAGGCGACTATGCTTGTCGTAAAAGGCGACTAACGGGATAGGGTGGTCAGGCTCGGTGACTTGGTTGATGCATGTTATCGGTCCCAATTGCATGGATCAATGCTCATGTTGTCAATCACTGGATTGTCTGGTCCATACTCGATTATTTACAGACCGCCGTCATATAGCTGGAATATTGCAGAGTGCGGCGTTAAACAACAAACCAAACCAAAACATATCTGTATCAGACTACGGGCTATGTGACCCAACACATCATGCAATTCTGCTAACGTCATTTATGGTTTTAAATGTTGTATGTTGTTCCAGAGCGCATGTAAACCAATTTGTCACTGAAGGAAAGTCACTGTACTCTTTGGAGCCTTTATGAATCTTAATAGATTAACATGTTCATGCTCCATATGTTTCAGTCATTCTATATGTAACTGATTCACGTGTTCTGAGAGTCGAGTTCACAAACTGCCAGTCATGGCCTCATGAGACATCCTGGACCTGTATTCCCACTCCGAACCAACACTACAGAGGCCTGTTTCTAGATAACCCCAAGCTTCGTCCACAGTTGAGTAAGTTGAAGGAGAAACTGGAGTCTCGCGGTGAGCATCTGACCAGCATTCACAGTGGAAGTTTGATATTTGTCTTCGGACATGACACAGAGTTTGAAGCAATTAAACAGGCGGCTAGACTTTCGGAAATAAAAAACGCCATTTTGCTATTTCTTCAAGAGATCAGCTCACAAGTGAAAGACATCAGAATGGAAGCTGACATTCGGGAGTCAAAGAGAACAGCAAAGCGACAGAAACACCAGAAAGGTGATGTACTGTCTTGTCATGTCTCATCAATAAATGTGAAAAATGCATTAATAAATTGTTTGGGTATATATGTCTTCATGAACGTCATATTTTTCCAGAGTGTGGTCAAATCATTACTGGAATGGATGGAGATAGCACAGCAATACACTCCAATGTATCCGGTATACAGAACATCCATGAAATGCGTCAAGGTACAATAAGACCCCTCCCAAAATCTGTATAGATATGTTCCTTCTTATCGTGTGGTTATTTGCACATTTGTACTGCGTAGTTTGTGTGTTAATATGTATTTATGTATTTCCCTTCCTATTAATTTAAATTTCAGGGAATATAAATATCGGTCGTGATCTTTGCAAATATTTTCCATCGTATTGAGTCATTTTTTGCAGATTATGTGTATTTTTATTTCCCTTTCTATCAATATAATTTTTAGGGAATATACATGTTGGTGGAGATGTCTTCTACCTCAGCTATGACGATGGCAAGCATGAAACAATCTGGCACTGCTTACCTCTACCCAACAGACATATCTCTCAAGTCCTCAGGGAGGCATGCAGACAGTTGGGCAGTAGTATCAGAGAGTTCTGTTGTGCTACACTAAGGAGGGTGGCTGGGAAAAGTCTGATATTTTCCTTTGCACATACAACCAGAGAAGATGCAATTGATATGATTGTTAAGCACAAGAGGGTCAAGGAGGTCTTCCTTGACTTCGTGCAGAAATTGGACCCATCAATTAAGGACATCAGGATAGAGGTGGAGTTGCGGGAGCTATGTGTGTCTGAGGAGCAGACAACACAGACAGCAGGTAATAATTGTTCATGTACATGTTCATGTAAATAGCCTAGTGGTTAAAGCGTTCGCTCGTCACGCCGAAGACCCGGGTTCGATTCTCAACATGGGCACAATGTGTGAAGCCCATTTCTGGTGTCCCCTGCCGTGATATGGCTGGAATATTGCTAAAAGCGGCGTAAGAGCTTACGCACTCAATCACTCATGTACATGTACACAGGCAGTATTTCTATAAACTTTGACCTCCACACCACATACGTCTCCTAAAATAGTCTGTTATAGCAATATTCCAGCTATATGACTGTTGAAAAAAAGAGGAAATTGCCTGTCAGAAAAATTACATTGTTGCAATTTGTTTTTCTTGAAATTAAGTCTGACTCACATGTTTTGTTTTCCAGCTGTAGCTGTACAAATATCTAATCGCGATACAAAATCCCCAAATTACATACTGTATTTTTTCTCTCAATTCTGGATATAACATTACAATGCTGTAACACACATGAGGATTAAGTGTTGTGTGAATTTTAGAATATTGAGATAGGTCAGTTCTACATGATAATTTATATTTCCATACTTCTTCCTCGCGAGTAGCTATTTCAATTAATAAATCCACCTTTTTTTCACAGAGAATTCTATGACCCAGCAGCTGTAGTCTATATAACCAACCATGCTTCAAAGGCCCGGGGCGGTCGGGTAGCCTAGTGGTTAAGCTCGTCACGCCGAAGACCCGGGTTCGATTCCTGACATGGGTACAATGTGTGAAGCCCATTTCTGGTGTCCCCCGCTGTGATATGGCTGGAATATTGCTAAAAGCGGCGTAAAACCTCACTCACTCACTCCAAAGGCCCTGATGAGCAATAGTTGCATTTGTCAAAGCCTTGTACAATCCTGGCACAGAAGCTTCAGGAGCTTTCAGCTATTTCAAGATCTACTTTTAAACATCCTTTGACGTACGATTGAACATTCTCCATCTTGGAAAAGTTCAAAGGGCATCATATGAATGATCTTGTTTGATCAAACATTCAAGGCCTCAACAAAACTTTCAAAAATTTAATGGGATACATGTGGAAGACCTTTCCAAATTTGACTCATCAGTGACAAAACTTATGTCTGATGCAATTCCCAATTTTGATTTGTACCACCACATGTTCCCGTGATTTGTCAGGTGAACAATTCACTTGTCTTTGCATGTGTTTGTGATGGGTGCCAGGACATGCTCACCTTTTGGCGAACACCTGGTATCATCACTATTTGAAAGTGATACATATACATACACATGCTGATGAAATGATCAGTCGTACAATCAACGTTATGGAATGGATTGTGTCAGTTCTTTTTCTTTGCATACCTTGAGCAGTTGTCTGTATAGGACCTAATACCTGGAGCCCCACATGTCATTCATGCATGTTACAAATGAATCAATGTACGGGAGTTTGGAGTGGTCCTAGGTAGTGGACAATCTATTGCATCGCCGCCACCTCAGATAACCCCCACCGGTTAAAGTCGCCAACATGCTATGGTCAACTCCACGACCTACTGACAATCAACTAAATCCCTATTTTCAGCCCGGTTGGCTTCAAGGAGATCTCAATTGTATGTTTAATTGATGGATGTGTTTGACGCACAGATTATTTTTGACATCTGTTGCAACCCCATCACATCAGAAGCCCCTGTTTTTCTAAAGGGGAGCTTGAATCTGGGAGTAGAAATAGAGCCGTTTTGAACACTTGGCTTTAGCCACGTTTCATCATCTGTTCCAAACGTCCTGTGTGTCTTGAAGACTGCGTGTCACGTGCTGAAGTAACCACAAAGACAAATTAAATTGAAATTTTTTTCCCTTCCTTAAGTTACGTTTAAACCCCAGTAACAATATTTAGTTGTTAACTAATTCCAAATTAACTAATACAACTAAACTAGCTTAACTTATCCTTAGCCTACTTCTACTATTACAAATGTACTACTACCAGCAATACTAATATCTACTACTGACAATACTATACTAATATTTATAATCTACTTCAATGCTATCACAATACTAATACTAATGTCCTCATAAAAACAAAACTAATACACAATGAATTAATAACAGCGTGTGTTAAGGACAAGGACGCCTCTCAACCACATCCCCAGCAAACGGGCGTCGAGGACACATCCCACTCACATCCCAAGCGGATGCACGCCGAGGACATGTCTCACCCACATCCCAAGCGGATGAAGAAAGGTAATAATGGTGGTTTCCATAACATTTGGGGGCAGTCGGTTAGCCTAGTGGTTAAAGCATTTGCTCGTCGCTCCAAAAACCCAGGTTCGATTCCCGACATGGGTACAATGTGTGGAGCCCATTTTTGTGTCCCCTGGCTGTGATATTGCTGAAATATTGCTAAAAGCGGCGTAAAATCAAACTCACTCCTTGTCTTTAGAAGCAAGGAAACGGATTGTTTATATCTGGACACCAAGAGTCACTCTATCACACTCTGTTTACAACTTTAGTGCATCCGTTGTGAAATAAATATGTGATGATCACAATTAGTATAAATTATCTGAACATATTTGTTGTCTCTAGACTGTTAATAGAATGGAGCTGATGAGATTTGAAGTACATTGACTCACTCCAGTGTTGAAAGTCAGTAGATAGAGGCATGTGAATTGACTCACTCCAGTGTTGACAGTTAGTAGATAGGGCTGACATGTACATTGACTCACTCCAGTGTTGACAGTTAGTAGATAGGGCTGACATGTACATTGACTCACTCCAGTGTTGACAGTTAGTAGATAGGGCTGACATGTACATTGACTCACTCCAGTGTTGACAGTGAGTAGATAGGGCTGACATTTTCATAGACTCACTCCAGTATTGACAGTGAGTAGATAGGGCTGACATGTACATAGACTCAACAATAGTTCTTTCAATATTCAATTACATAAACAACAAATCCGGTATACTTTCTTTTGTCTTTCGTTTGTTTCTGTTGCATGTTTATGTTCCAAAACAAATAACAATCTTTCCAACATTTTAACAAAGAGAAGCAATATATCTCAGCAGTTAGCACAAAGGCAGTGTACAACTTGTTATACATGTATACTTAATTCAAACTTTAGAAATTGGATTCAGGAGGTGCGTGTTTTCTTCTTCTGTATTTAGACACGTGGGGGAAGATGAACAGCAAACTAAATCTAATTTAAGTGATTTGGTAATCACAAAACGTGCATATATGCATACCCCAGGTGTAATACAAGTATATTAAATCTTAATTCATCAGGGAATATTTTAAAGGCAACACATTTGTCGAAAGGCAATAACTTGTCCTGTTATGCCGTTATACACAAAGAAATTCTTTGTCCAAAAAAAATTGCTGTAGATATGCTGTATATATGCTTATAATGAACTAAAATTCATTATAACCGTAGTTTACTGTAATGTTTATGTGCTATATATATTTTTCTAAACAGTTTATTCGCTGTTTCAGCCTTGAGTGCACACTCCGTCGCAGTGGTGACTCAGCATAACACCACTGCCACAGGCTAATTTACATATCACGTGACCGGACTTTTCTCTTGTTTGTAAACAAACGCGCTTTTTCAGAAATCAGTATAGAACGGACTAATGCAAGTATTTGGGGTCGCTTTACATATTGTTTTGCATAATTATATAAATATGCTACTACAGCTGCGACAGTGAGTTGCATGATAAAATATATGTATACCTCAAAGTGACCGTATCGCTAGCTCTCTGTTTGGCTTCGATGACAGCACGTGGAGCCGTACAACCAATGTAAACAAAGGATAACTACGCAGAAACAAGTAGATGTTCACGTTTTAGGATACTTTCTTAATGAACCGTAACCGTTCTTTGACATTTGTTTATGAAAATGTGTAAACTTGTCAAACATGAAACGGATGAAAAGCATATGCAATATCTTGAATGGACTTTGAAAGATGTGACGAATCGTCACATGGCGCTGGCCTGTGGCAGAGGTACTATGCTAGCTGGCTGCCGGCCGCATGGAACTCTGGGTAGGAGAGTGCCTTGAGTGATCCGAGTCAGGATCCAAGCCGGAGTGAGGGGATTTCACTGTCCCCAGAGACAGGACAAGAGTCTGCTTCACAGGATAGGTGGGAGGACACCGCAAGTGGTAGCTCACCCCTAATCCTTAATACAACCTGTCTAACGGGCCGTGCAGAGTTGCGTCCTTTGGGCAAGCCAGAATCCTATGACTGTGGGTTCAAATCCTGGTTCACCCTGATTATGTTTCTAGGTTTGTCAGCACCATACCCGTGCATGTGGATTTCACCGAAGTGGTAAATGTATCAGATATAATGCCCTGATATAACTTGAATACTGTTAAAAGCGGCGTTAAATCCAGCTCACTCACTCACAACCCGTGAAGATCCGGGTTAGAATAGGTCTGAATAGGTCTTCAGCAACCCGTAAAAGGCGACTGTGCTTGTTGTAAGAGGCGTCTATCGGGATCGGCATGTCAGGCTCGCCAACTTGGTTGATGCATGTCATCGATTCCAATTGTGTGACGTATACCAGTGTAATCTTATTATCACTATATTTTTTAAACAGCAATTGTACTGACATTATTATCTTTTAAAGCTCAGTCCAACAAACGTTCACACTCTCCAGTCATACACAGAACAATGTTGCAACTACTGGAAGTCAAAGAAAGATTTGAAACATTAAATACATATTCCAATAACATGAACCATCTGTCGTCATTTCCCTTACTTATATTGTTGTCAGCCATGTTGGAAGTGTTGAATGGTGTATCAATGTTCGTGACACATATCAACACTTTGAGATGTAATCACTGGAGATATATGACAAAGATGTCTGGATGTGTACAGAGTTTACTTTGTGTTACAGTGACCCCATCACAAGCTTGCACAGACCACGGCCTCTATGACGCCAGCGGGAGGGGGGACCAGGAGGAGGTGAGGCTGATCCTGGCTACTGGTCTGGTCAACATCAACTGTCCAGTGGGATTGGGGCGCAGGACACCGATGATGGCGGCAGCATGGTCTGGACACAGAGAAGTGGTGGAGCTCCTTGTGAGTAAAGGAGCCGATGTGTCACTGGTGGACGGTGGTGGTAACAACAGCCTTCACTACGCCTGTTGTGGAGGAGACGCAGAGACGGTGAAGTCTGTCCTGTCTCCGAATGTGGTGGACATTGACGGTAGAGGATGGAGGAGAAGGACACCCATGATGGAGGCAGCGGACAGGGGACACAGAGAAGTGGTGGAGCTCCTTGTGAGTAAAGGAGCCAATGTGTCACTGGTGGACGGTGGAGGTAACAACAGCCTTCACTATGCCTGTTGTGGAGGAGACGTAGAGACGGTGAAGTATGTCCTGTCTCTGAATGTGGTGGACATTGACGGTAGAGGAGAGGTGAGCAGGACACCGGTAATGTGTGCAGCACGTTGGAGAAACAGAGAAGTGGTGGAGTTCCTTGTGAGTAAAGGAGCCAATGTGTCACTGGTGGACAAGATCGGTAACAACATCCTTCACTTGGCCTCTGGTGAAGGAGATGTGGAGACAGTGAAGTTTGTCGTGTCTCTGAACGTGGTGGACATCAACGCCAGGAACAACATTGGGTTGACAGCGGCTGACAGGGCGAGAGACTGGGCGAGACGTCAGCTGCTGGATCTCCTTGTGTCACACGGCGCTCAGTGAAGTCAGTATGCCATTCACGTCATATGGGTTTATATCTCAGGATTTTGGTGAAATTATTTAGGTGAAATAAAACTTGTAAAACATTTTCAGACATTGTGTCATTTGTTGTGTTTGGAACTTAGCATGATCAGGTAAGAAAATTGTTAAATTGTAAATATAGATGATCTGTGATTGGTATGTAAACACCACATCTCCAGATATAATTATGTGTTGATTGTATGTCATAAGTTTATAATTAATGGTGAACAGACTACAAACTGTTTGTTTACATCTCGCTGCACTCTCCTCAGACTGAGCCTAGGTTCGCCTGGCTAACGTGGTGCCAAATGTACAATGACAGTGACGTCACACTGCTGATGACATCACGAGTACTGCTAAGCGGCCTTGGCCACACACCAAAGTGACCGGCTATTTTCTCCGCCGATATCAGTTGGTCACAGGTCAGCACAATGCCATCTTCCCGAGGCAAGGGAGTTAACTGACTATAAAAGTCCAGTTTCCACCCTTGCCGAACTAGGCTGGAATTCCTGGCGTCAATCGTAATAACCAGTTAAGTCCCTTCCGTGGTCTAGTGGTAGAGCGTCTGGCGCTTGGCATCAAGGGTCTAAAACAAGGACTGGTGTGCTCGGAGTCAGTATTCTGTGTTTGAGTGGGATATTCATGTTAAACTGCGGTATGGTGAACTTGCACTATAAATTGGCATCAGCCCGGACTAGTTCAAGCAGCCACGCAAGCACACACACGTCATGCATCAGTCAGTCAGTATCAGTCATTATTAAAGTGAAACACAACACTAGCCTCTGAGAAAATGGCATCACAAGTCAGTTTCTCGTGTGTCAGTCCTGTGCATTAATGACTGCCGTGCAACGTTGATACATGGAATGGATGAGGCTGTTGATGAAGGCCATGGGAACTTGAGCCCACACTCTGACGAACGCCTGAAGCAGTTCACCTGCAGTTGTCGGCCTTGGTCGGACGTCATTCAGCCGTCTTTGAATCTCGCCCCACAGGTGCTCAGTGGTATATATTGGGGACGGGTGTTATCATGCTGAAACTCGTGGTTACGGCGACGTGCGAAATGAGGCATGGCGTGTGGTCTCAAGACTTGATCAATGTACCGGGCTGCTGTGACACCATTGCCTCTCCCTGGACCGATGTTCTGGAAGACCACAGAGACGATCCTCTGTGCAAGACCAATTCCACCCCACACCATGATGCTCGGACCACCCCACGAGTCTCTCTCCATAACACAAGCATCCAAATACTGGTGCTGTGTTGCCCGTTTGAAGACGGTACCGGCGATGTCGTGATGTCAGAATGGGTCCTCGATGTGGCCTGTGACAGTGGAGGTGGCTGCTCGTCAATCGCCGACGTACGGTGTCCGCACTAATGTGTCGCTGGTGTGTGCCCATGGTCTGTCGAGCATTTTCCACAGCAGTAACAAAGCGATTTTGTCGCACAATCTATCGATCCTGACGTCGGGTGTTGACCCTTGGTCTTCCACTACGTGGTCGGTCATCTGTGGTGTTGGTGGTCTGGCACCGTTGCTGGAGCCTGTATATGGTCCTGACGTAGACTTGAAATGCATTGTCCAGCCTGCCATCGTCCAAGGGTTTGGCGTCGCTGATTTCTTGTCAATCTTGGTAGCAATTCATCAACGAATGAATGTTATCCGATCTGGGTGGATGTTTATAGGGCAAGAAATGGGGGAACCGAGTGCATTTCAATTTGCACAGAACTCACGTGCATCGGGTTACCATAGCCGTTGTCGTAATGCGTTTGGGCGATCGGTTTTATTGTCATCTGCTTTGTATTTTTATCATCAAATATCATTTTCCCGGACAAAATAACGTTAAATTTTAGAAACTTTGACAAAAATTACCCAAATATTTAAATGACATCTTTTCATGCAATGTTACTTGGGGTGACGTTTCTTTTGCGGTTCAGTATGTAACGGATTTTAGAAATTCCAGGTAAAAATGTAGAATGTTCAAATAGCTACTTTTATGTATACATGTATATATTTACAAAAGCGGATACAGATTTACACAATGCATAAAGAAACATGAAGTTAGTGTTACATCATCACATGAAAAACAGGTGCCGCACTGAAGTCACCCAGTAAAGATACTTTTAGGCGATGTAGGGTCACAGTTTGGCTCGTCCCTCCTTTTTGACAGGTCAATGGGTTAGTGAAAGTTATATATATTACTCAAAACAGGTCACAAAGGGTCAAACGAATATTCCTGCATGACCTTTACTTTGACATACAAAACAAAAAAAATAGAATTTCTGATCGCAAATCCGGTTGGAATGGGTTCAGTTTGCCTGACGTGTCTGATGGACAGCATGCCCCAGTGGTCTGTTGACGAGCACGAGGTGGTTAACTCGATATTGACATAGTGATCGTGTGTAACAAAGTTCTGTTTGACCCCTCAGTGCTGACGTATTGTCTGAGACTTTTATGACTTGTGTCAAGTGTTGATTTGCATGCTTCTGGTACTCACAACTTACCAAACTGTATTACAATAAATTTAAAATATTTGGAATTTTGTTTTATATTGAAATATCACATTCAGTTACCCTTAAAAGTAGTCTTCCAGAACGCAGGTGTTGTGATTATAGGGGTTAAGCTGTAAGTAAGGAGCAGTCCTTGTGAGCTCTCTTTGAAAAATGACGCAATTTGGAATACGTTTGTTTTTTATTTTTTTTGTTTGTTTGTTGTTTCACGCCGCACTCAGCAATATTCCAGCTATATATGGCGGTTTTGGAATACTTATTTTGATAGAAGTAATTTGGAAAATATCAAATAATTTACCCGGACGTTTAAAAATAATTTTTGCTTAGAATTATGGGGGCTAATACAGGGATTTGATCTCACATCAACGAATCCTGGAATTGTTAAGGGACGCAACTCTTAATAGGCTGTGCCCACAATGGTCTCGTCGAGGCTTGTAAAATATGTCAAAATATGAAACAAGTAACAGTTATGCTGTGGCTTTGGTATGCTAAGACGGTTCTTAATCCTCCGCGTCAAGCTGATGGGCACGCGCTCAGCGGTTTTAATTGTGATCTGTATCCCCGTCGAGAGGATTAGGTCGTATGACCAGCGGGCAGACATAACTGACCACACCGAGCCCGCCCACTGCCTTGACCATACGGGATGACCTGTAGGCGTAGACACCATCACGACCTTTCACAGCAACGGGGGTCGATTTAGGTAGATATATAAATGACGAAAAAATATATAACGGCATTCAAAGCTGTTCACGGGATCTACACTGACAATGAACAAAGCAATAATTGTGGCTCTTCTGCTGACTGGTAGGTGTTTTGTTTTCACTGTAAATTCTGATCTAGTTATATGATATACCCCAGCTTAAGCACTGCTGGATTTACAATTCTACCTTTGTTGGTAATCGAACCCGGTCGATGTGGACGCTTTAACCAGTTACCCAAACCAGTCCTGTATTGTATGTTATGTTATGCCGTGGAAGAACATAGAGAGAGTATTTGTGTGTCGTCAATATCATGTTCATGTCCTCTCGTGACCTGACAGTTATTTCATGAGTGAAAACGAGATGAGATAAACATGTTAGTTTACAAGAAAATGCAAATGTTCCATATATTTTTTATGTTTTTTCTCACTGACCCTCATGATTTTACGGAGACCGCCTCCGTGGTCTAGTGGTAGAGCGTCCGCCCGGAGAGTGGAAGGTCCGGGGTTCGATCCCCGACCGCGTCATACCAAAAGACGTTAAAAGTTGGTACTTGTTGTTACCCTGTCTGGCGCACGGCATTAAGGGGCTAAAACAAGGACTGGTCCTCGCGACGTGTAGTTTTCATACGTTGAGGTTGGCTAGGGAGGAACGGGTGGCCCAGTCGTCTACTGCACTCAAATCGCTGTGCAGACTTTCATCACTATGAAACCTATGATCGTGGGTTCGAATTCTAGTTCACCCCAATTGTGTTTCTAGGTCTGTCAGCACCCTTGCCACTACTTGTGGATTTAACCAATTTGGCAAACGTCTGAGACCTGCATCACTTCGGGCTTTCCTCTCACATTAAGCCGACACTCAATGATATAACTGGGATCCTGTTCAAATTGGCGTCAAAACCAATTCACTAACTCACTCTTCATGCTAAGCTGACATTCTGTGAGTGATATAACTATTGTTGAAAGCGGCGTTACACCAAATTCACTCACTCATACACGCAACTAATCCCCTCCTGTATTTCAGCCTTAGTGGCACTGGTCTACTCTCACCATCATCATCACCATCACCGCCGTCACAGGCATCATCACCACCATCACCACCACCGTCATCACAGACACCATCGCCACAGACACGGTCACGGACATCATCATCATCACCACGGCAGCAGCAGCAGCAGCAGCGGTGGTAGCAGCAGTAGCAGCAGCGAGAGCGAGAGCGAGAGCTCCAGCAGCAGCGAGGAGATCATCGTCCACCACCATCACTCCTCCGGCGGTGGGTCTTCCGGTTCCTCAGAGTCCAGCGGATGCTCCAGCTGTGGAGGGTCTTCTGAGTCTTCCGAGTCTTCATCCGAGGACTACCCTATCCCAATCCCTGTGCCCATCCCCCACGGCGGCGGCGGCAGTCACAGCCACACCAACTACCTCCCCATCGTCCTCACTACAGGCGGAAAATAAGTAAGTTATCTGTATCATAGATCTCGAATATCTAAACGTCCAGTTAGGGGTACCATAGTGGTTTGTTTCTTGCTTAACGCCGCACCATTTAGCAATATTCCAGCTGTATGACGGCAGTCTGAAAATAATAGAGTCTTGACCAAACAATCCAGTGATTGACATCAGCATCGGTCTAAGCCACTGGGATACGATGACATGCATCAATCAATGTCTCTAACGGAAACGTGGAGTGCTGAAGATCAATTCTAACCCGGATCTGCACGAGGTGAAATAGATGTTTAAGAATTTGCTCGTCATACCTTATTCAGTTTCGACCCAAAACATCTTCACAATATGTGGAACACATCTGCGTCCCTGGCCGAGATACTACTGTAATCCTATGTTCGTTATATCCGAAGTAACTTTAGTAACTAGTTCGAGGGGAGTGGAGTTCGGTTCGCCATAAGCGGCTATTCCCTACATTGTACATTGTACCGTACTCGACGTATCAAGGACCTGCTCTCGATTGTCCCCACTCACTCACACTATGGTCCCCCTGATTCAGTTGGGGGTACGGCTTACTCGTCGTCTAATGCTCCGCATCTTGTCCAGAGTTGCATCCCTTAGTCCTGCCATGATTCAATGGCCACGGGTTCGAATTCCAGATTCACCCTGATTATCATTCTTGGTCTTGGTGTCACCAGTATGGGTTTTGTCAAAGGAGCATAACTGTACTACTTCCCTTAAGTATATTCTATTCCATATAAAGGTGACATATCGTTGTGTAACCGAAAGTTCACTCACTTTTCGGCCTCGACTCTCTGTTTCAGTTTCTGTTTGACGATCCTGGCTGATACCGTCAGAACAACGTCACAGAGGTGTGCCTGATCACTGTCCTACGAAGTCTATGTTATTGATGATGTCGGTCATGGCGTCAACAAGTTGTTATGGTTGAAATAAAGAAGAAATATAAAAATTATTATGTTTCAATTTATATTTTACATTACGCGTTACAGAAATGTTTATAATTTTGATCCTTTCCATGTAAATTTAAAACGCCGGAAAATAACGAGTATTCGACGAGACAGAATACACTGGGCTTGAAAGGCGAAACGGCGAAAATTATATTAATTGATCACTGAAAATCAGTGATGAGACCAGATGTTCTTAAAATGGGGAGCCGGTCCTGCCAAACCGGTAGCACCTGACACAAACACATATAGCATTTAAAATGTAATTGTTTGTTTGTTGCCCGACGCTGCACAGCCGTACTCCCGCCATGCGACGGCGGCATGTAAACAAATCAACCGATTGTGTTGAAACTAGAAACGATATGTTAATTTTAAACTTTGTTTTGTTACGAACATATTTTAATGACTTAAAAGTTCAAATGGATTAGGCAAAGGTTATCTAACTTACAATGCCCTTCCCATAATCATTGATACAGACAGCGGACGAGTGTAAATATTAAAACAAATTGCGTGCATATACAGTGCGATACTTCCATGGAGATAGAAACATCAGAAATAAATAAAATTACATAAACTATTGCTGTGATAAATGATGTCTACCAGTCATCTGGGGAGAGGTTCTAAATGGTTGGTTGGTTTGTTGTTTAACGCTGCATTCAGCAATATTCCAGCTATATGACGGCGGTCTGTAAATAATCGAGTATGGACCAGACAATCCAGTGATTAATATCATGAGCATCGATCCACGCAATTGGGATCGATGACATGCATCAACCAAGTCAGCGAGCCTGACCACCCGATCCCGTTAGTCGCCTTTTACGACAAGCATAGTCACCATTTACGGCAAGTATGGGTTCTACCCCCGCGTCTTCACGGGCCTCTAAATGCATGGTACAACAACAAATGTAAAATATGAGATGTATATGTGTATAAATTATAGTTAATAGAAATATTATTAAATCTCTTTGACAAACTATAGTTTTACACACTTTTGAATATACATATGCTGTGTACTAATGAACATGAAATATCACCATTGAGAATTGTTTGGATCGTGAATTGAGCTCCTGATAAAATATTGTTACACAATGACGTTCTAATGGCATACTTATTGGGACATTCACGAAAAAAGTGATATTCGTTTTCACATGGGCATCCACACATGAATATAACTGTGATTAAACAACCTTTGAGTATGAGTCGTACGATATTATTATCAAACTGCCCAGCCTTTACTGCTTAGCTCTAATTGAAGCAAGTCTTTATTTTCCACATATTAAACTCCCATCTCAACGGAGCTCCTTTTCATGTAAAATATAGTTGCTTGTTGCTATCAGAATATTGTATTTAATGAGACCAAGCGTTATTATACACAGAAATATGCATACGTTTAATCATACCATTGTGTGTGTATTAACAGTGTCATGTTCGTACGCTCTCGAATCGTGTCTTTGTTTAATCATTTTTATTTCTGACCTATGCTTTTTGTAATTACATGAAATTACAGAGCTAAAAATATAAATATTAATTGTATAATTATGGACCAATATGTATATCAGTGATAATGTCAAACGTTATCTTTCAGTACTCAGCAAAGCGTAGGATACACGCGTGGCAACAGGTTGCGGAGGAAGATTATATGTGATAACACCACACTGAGTCAGAAGTGTCGGAATGGGATTTGCATGCTGAACAAAAAAAGTTAGGGATCATGAATATTACACAATTTCCTAAAAGGACCCCCCCCCCCCCCCCCCAAATTGTCATGACCCCTAAACTATTTTGTACAGTATATTTAGAATTGGCTTCCATATTCGTTTATAAACGTAGAAACCGTTGTACACACTGTAAATAGGTGTAAATAAATACATCAACATGAATAACTTCAGTGATATGGTTCAACGCAATAATTCAATGATATGAAATCGTCGACGCCAGAGAATAACCAGTCTCGATTATCCACCGAAGTATATTTCATCAGGCGTTGAAGGCGACACATCGGTAAATCGATCGCTGAAAATCAGTGATGACACCAGGTTTCGCGAATGTCCTGCTCTACCGTTAGCAGCCGCTACTCACACAATTTGCACAAAAAACTAAGGGTTTGTTTCTTGTCTGACGCCGCACAGTAGTACTCCTGTAAACAAACCAAATAATAAAATGATAGACCAGAAAATGTAGTGACACGAGAGCGCATTTACTGATCTTGATGAAACATAAAACGATTATGATAATCTTGAATTTCGTCTGCTGTGTGCAAGTGCAGAGACTCGGCGGCCTACAAGTAAAGGAAAACAACACAAGCACTGCTCACTGTTATCAGACACACAGGAAGCATTGTCCACCAGTGGACGTGGCCTAATTTTAGGTTCATGTAAAACAAAACGTTTATAAATCTATAAACATCTTTGACGAAAATATATACGCAAAATATATTTCTTAGTTAGCCATTCAAATACCATGGAATCACTTGCAGTGAATTTATAAGGTTGCGAAATAATAATTTCAGTTGTAATCAAGTGAGATCGTTCATTAGTTCAGTTCACACCGGACAACACTCTGTATCTACAGACAACGTCCTTGTCAACACTTGTTTCCTTGATAACTGTTCGCGCCAAACGTGACCCAGGTATCAGACGTTTAGCACTTTGGTGAAACCCACGAGAAGTCATGATCATTACGGGGTGCAATCTGAGATTCGAACCCGTTATCAGCGGATCCTTCCACATCTAGGAGACACAAATGACCACCGCGGATTCTTACCAAAGTTTGTACATCGGTTTTTCGATCTATACCTGAATGAGCCGAAAAATACACACTGCCAATCAATATGATTAAATTCAACAACAAAACACGTCTGATCAACAATAGTTTAATAAAAAACTAGTATCTAAATCAAAGAAGACAAATATGATGAGATTGATAAACATTCCTGGCGTAGGAACCGAACTGTGACATGAGTGACATAAATGAGGTGATTATTTGATATATAACTTGACACGCCCACAAAGTCAAAGTAACCAATCAACAGTGAGTAACATCAAACAAAGTTCATAAGACCTGTCAATAAAGGCAGGAGAAGCGAAGATTAACAGTGGTTATTATGAACAGTTAGGTCAAGGAGAGGGTGGCTGTTTCAAATGACAGTAAACGCCAGAATCAAACCTAAGTTTCTTGAGAACAGGAAGCCCGAAGGCATGGAATTTGGAGAACTGTGATTGTCCGATGCCGGTGTTTGGGCAGTGAGTGTGAAAGACGGCGCGGTGTTGTTTTGTTGATACGTTTGATACCGATAAATACCACTAAGATGTTACGAGGCCTGATAACTTCATGATGATACAGGTGAACAGAAAGGGAATTGACTGCAACTTGGATTCCTCGACATTCCGTAAAGAAAGTAGTTCGCTTCGGTGGGCGTGGCTTAATGTTTTTACATGCATTGGGAAATGAATGCAAAAACACGTGACGAATTCAGCTAATCAGAATGCAGGAATTACAAGTACAACGAAAATGCAATTATATGTAATTGAACGGATATTTGACATCCATGACAAAATAATAATTGTTATCATCTGATTATTATTTCCACAGGTGAAGCCAACAAGAAGCCAGATAAGTCAAAACGTCCTTGACAAAAAACTGTCCCTTCCGTGAAATGAGTTGCAATTGCCAGGTGGTACGTACGTATGTCTTATCATGTCGTCGGATAAGTATCATTTATTTATACACCGCGATTTCCATTTCCACGACCCCTTGCACGGCGCACGATTGTGTCAATGTCTCTGTGAGGAACATATATGGTCAAGACAGCCAAGATGATGTCATTGATGTAATGCATGTAACTATGGAAACCGCTGGTTTCTCAGCAAACATAAACCGCCAGGATTCCCACACCTGAAAGTATAAGCAAACACAATTTCTGAGGGTATTTTTCTTGCGCTACACCGGACAACCATCGTCTCTTGTGTGACTTCCAAAACAAGAGTTGTTCCTAACGAACAAGCACATTCAGTTCAAAGTCCTTCTCAACAACACTTCCAGTAGAGTCTGTACCTCTGTAGGTGTACGTCCCTGCATCGGATCTGGATATATTGGACAGATAAAACCTCTTCACAACAACATACTCATATCTGTATTTATGGAATGGAACGTCCATCATTTGGTTCCGACCATCATCATGATGTTTCCATAATGTTATGTCTTCAGGATCGTTACCAACGATGCTTGCAAATGTTGCGCAAGTTATCCCCTCTCTACAATAAGAATTCCAAGGAATATGTCCAACTCTCAAAAAGCCAAGAGAACCTTCAGAATATGGTGTCCTGTGATTCATCATTCTGACAGTTATAATTTGTTCGTTGCCATACGCCTCCAGTGGACCTCTCGTGTGCATGTACATACCAACGTAGGCAGCTCCTTCGTAGTCCTCGCCGTCACGGTTGATGACTAAAGTGTGTTCATCGTAATCAACAAATTCTTTGGAACTGCCTTTCTGAATTATACCGGGGAAGTTCGTACCGGCGTCAAACACAGTGTTGATATCGGTTCTACTGAATGAATACATACCGTAGACTATCCCGCCGTTGTCAAAAGGATGTCCGCTTTCAATCCTCTTGGCAGTTTGTACTTGGATTTCTACAGTTTCACCTTTGTTAAAAACAACCTCGTTTTCAATGTTGGTTCTCAGGAGAAGCGGTTGAACTCGGAGTTGAGTCGTGTTCTTTACATTGACGAAAACTTTGCTTTGCCATCGTCTATCACAACTTTCAAACAGCACTTCAAACCGTGGAGTACCCGATGTTGCGCTGACAACGCCCTGACCGTCTTCGAAAGTGTTCTGAAAGTCATTTTCCTTCAAAATGTCAATAAAACCACTTGATGCCTTATCCGCCACTCGGATGGTGATACCATTGTGAGATGTGTACTCTAACTGGAAGGAATATGAGTCTTGCCCCACTTCTGTTCTGAGGGTCAGTATCTGAAATGAAGGCTCATGATCAAACGCTCCAATCGTCACATCATCCATTGTCTCTTGTGTCGTTGCGCCATTGTGTGTATCTGTTACTGAAGCTAAATCTTGAACATATTCATTTTCCTCAATGGTACTCGCGTATTGTGCTGGAACTGTATATTCCGTATCCATGGACACACGTTCTGGGAAAACATGCGAGGGACAAAGAAATGCCAATAGAAACAGCAGGCGATCTTGGTGCGTCATGGTGAAAGGCTCCAGTGAACTACGAACAAACTGGCATTGTGTGGCAAGGAATATCGACTCCATGGAATGTAGGAGACTAAAGTTCAGAGTCATTAAAAACAGTGATGTATTACGTATTCCTTTGTGCTGACCTTTAAGTTACCGGGCCATTTCACAATTGTTGATAATTGTCCCCAGATACAACATGCGCACGTGTGACTCATGCTCGGGAAATGTCGTTTTGATCAAATATATCAATGTGTGTATACATGTATACACAAAGAATCGGCTAAGCACCCCTGCTAGTGTTTTTGCACAAATACAGTGCCTTTGAGGTTTTGGTAGAATCATAATTAAAATCTCAAAAAAACGGGTAGGTGGTTGAGTGAGTGAGTGAGTGAGTGAGAGAGCGACCGAGCTTAAGATTTTCTTTATGTTTTTGGTTAAGTGGTTGGTTTGTTGTTTTACGCCGCAATTAGCAATATTCCAGCTATATGACGGCGGTCTGTAAATAATGGAGTCTGGACCAGACAATCCCGTGGTTGACATCATGAGCATCGATCCCCGCCATTGGGATCGATGACATGCTTCAACCAAGTCAGCGAGCCTGACCACCCGATCCCGTTAGTCACCTTTGTACCCAACAGACTAGAAAATGATGGTTGTGGTCAACTCTTTTGATGTTACATTGTCTTCAGTTGTGTAATAATTTGAAAATGAAATAAGAGGGATTTTCGTCATGTTTTCGACACATAACTCGATTTTAAACTGTTTGGGTTATTGTTTATTTATTCTATTTTTCCTAAGTCAGCACGCAGGTTTTGTTATAAAATAAGCATTCCAATATGCAAACTTTCAAACAAAAATGTGCATTTAACCACCGACGAACATGTCTGCTACCAAAAGAACTCACCACAACCAGCATTGTCTAATGCATAAATGACATCTTGTGATGAGAAGTGTGGTTGTGCTGTATTCTACAGTGGGGGATGGCACGGGGGGCCCAGTCGTCTTAGGCGCCGCGATTCGCTGTGCAGAGTTGCGTCCCTTGGGCACGCCAGAAACCTATGATTGTTGGTTCGAATCCTGGTTCGCCACGATTATGTTTCTAGGTTTGTCAGCACCATATCCGTGCTCGTGGGTTTCACCGAAGTGGTAAATGTCTGAGACCTGCATCACTTCGGGCTTTCCTCCCACATTAAGCTGACACGCCGCGATATGACTGGAATACTGTTAAAAGCGGCGTTAAACCCAACTCACTCACTAGAAAGCCCGAAACAACACGGTTTTCACATTCACGTGGATGATTTCTAGTAATAATGATTAAAAATAGACATCTTGTGAAGAACATGTCTGATTTGATAAATTTGGAAACATTGTGTATTGTGCAGAGCTACAGATAAGCAGCGTATTTGCGTAAATACCCTCCCAAAATATTCAAAACCCAAATACTTTCAATTAACTTGTGTACAGAAACGCGTGCATAGATTGAAAATCTCAAATGTAGAAAAACAGCTCGCGTAAATATCCAATGAAGCTTTTTCAGCATGTGTACAAAGCTAATTTCCGAAACACAATAACGAGCTAATTTACTTTCCGAGTCAAGCCTAAATATTTAAAACATTTATATACATCTAAAACATTATTTCATTTTTTTTAAATCTTAAAATGTTCACTAATTGAGGGAAAACCCAAAGACGTATATACGTATATATTGTATATACGTCCGTGGAAAACCCCAATAGAGTGATAAATAGATCAGTGAAAAAATATTGGTTACCCAATGTTATAAACCTACTTGCTGTTTGTGTAACTCGATATGGAGTTTTTGAAATTGTGGTAACAATTCGTAGGAGGTATTTCAACGATTGTAACACCTCGCCGGAGGGCTTACAATCATTGTAAACCCTTGATAGAACAAAAACTACGAACAGCATACGAGACGCACGTGCAGATTTCGTGCCATTGCGAGACGCACGTGCAGGTTTCGCACTGTTGCGAAACCAACGTGCTGAGGTCACCGGTTTCATTGAACCGAGTTCACGACTGCAGGCGATATTTCATCTCCGATACAGGTTTATAAGTTAAACAAACCATTTCTCCTCGGGATTACCAGCGATTTTAAACCCTGAAATTCGGTGACATGCCCCCTCGGTTTACAATCCTGGTAATCCCGAGGAGAAATGATTTCTCCTATACAAATAACCCAAACAAAATAGAAACCCTAGAGTAAAAACTCAATTGCTCAAAAAGTTATCTGGAGCTCAGATATTTTTAGCTGTAGATGAACTCGCAGTTTAGTGTATCATATAGTTTTATGCATTGTTTTACCAATTATATTACTTGTACATATATAGTTTTCTACATATCTATTTATTCATTATGCAGAGGTATCACTGTCAATGCTTGCAGAGTGTGTGTGTACCACAGTTCATCACCAGTGCCACCAGCTGGGGTCTGACCAATCTGGTATGTGATATCAAATCAGATACCTCAAAATTCCATGTTTTGTTAGTTTACAGCTGTATGTGGTTATTAGGGAGGCTACCACTATCGGCCCAGATTTAGTAGCATTGTTGCATATATGTGCCACATATTACAAAATATATAACCTGGTTAAACTAGTTCCTGATACAGACATGTTTCTGAATACTTGCAGATGGTCAGGCAACTTCAAGGAGAATAGGATGACAGTTGAGGAGCATGAATTGGAGGATTGACCAAGCATGCCTGTTGTACAATTCTCTACCATCAGTTACAACCCAGAGGCCATCAACTCCTTAGATGTGAAGGATGTCACTTCTATTCAAACTGTACCCAAACAGTCATCTGTTGGTGTGGGGTAATCCCATCCCTGTGACAAGAAGCTGTAGTAAGCGTGAGGAGAAGATACTCACGAAGAAGGAACTGAATAATCTCATCTAAGTTTCAAATCAACAACTGTGAACAGCTCAGTCCCTTACTCACTGAAGAGTGGCAAAGTCGCTTCCCTCCCTTAAAAGAAAAAGGCCTGAAAAGATGCATCCGAGACCACCTTAATCATTCCCCACAAGGCACATTCTTACCTTCTCCGCAGGGTCTTAAGGACGTCTCTAGATATTCCAGGCAAATGTCTCCACACCATCTCGGCAAGTATCAAGTATCAAGGACTACCTTAGAATACCTACTGAAGTAGTCTCCGTTACTTCCTCAGAACTAACCTTATATGGCTAATTAAATATGCTTTGAACCATCTCGGGAAACCCACTTTAGGAAGTCACTGATTTTTCTCCACAAACTTTTGTTACATAATCAAAGTTGTTTCTAATGCATCCCCCTCCCGCAACACTTGCAAGGAAGTCCCCGAATAGTCTCCACAAACTATTATTAGGTAATCAAAGATGCATCTGAAGCATCCAACCCGCAACACTTGCAAGGAAGTCCCCGAATAGTCTCCACAAACTATTATTAGGTAATCAAAGATGCATCTGAAGCATCCAACCCGCAACACTTGCAAGGAAGTCCCCGAATAGTCTCCACAAACTATTATTAGGTAATCAAAGATGCATCTGAAGCATCCAACCCGCAACACTTGCAAGGAAGTCCCCACAAACTATTATTAGGTAATCAAAGATGCATCTGAAGCATCCAACCCGCAACACTTGCAAGGAAGTCTCCGAAGCGTCTTCACTAACCTATCATGGGTAATTAAATATGCTTTGAACCCGGCAAACCTTCTTAGGAAGTCCCCATTACAAAGATGTTTCAGAGACACTTTACCTTTCCATTATTTTCAGTAATACAAAAGATGTGCTTACATCATAATCTAGTCTAACAACATCTCAGAAGTATTAATGTGTCTCTGAAACATCCTTGCCAAACCTGTACTGTCAAAAATGAGATAACAAAGATGCATAGTATTCTCTTTATTTGAAGTTCTCAGAAGTTCATGATCTCATGGGATTCCATTTCTGGCTGAATTATCTGAGCACTTTCCATTTCTTGCTGAATTATCTGAGCACTTTGTGTGAAACCTTTCACGAAAAGAAGAAAAAGACAGAAGGTATACTCTCCAAAATATGAAAAGCAGAGATGGTAACTACGGAAGCCTTTTAGGGCCATTTGTTTTTTTATTTTGTTTTTTTCGATACTATCTTGAAATTTCAAGATACTTATTTGAAATTTTAAGATACTAAGTTGAAATTTCAAGATAGTATCATGTATCCAAGATAGTATCTTGAAATTTCAACTTCTTGAAATAGACGTATAGTTTCTTGAAATTTCAACTTAATATCTTGAAATTTCAACTTCTGTATCTTGAAATTTCAACTTAGGATACTATCTTGAAATTTCAAGATAGCATCATGTATTCCAAGATAGTATCTTGAAATTGCAACTTCTTGAAATAGAAGTATAGTATCTTGAAATTTCAACTTAGTTTCTTGAAATTTCAAGATAGTATCGAAAAATATATAAAAACATATGGCCCTAAAAGGCTTCCATAGGTAACAACATTTTCACAAGTACTTTCCATACCAATGTTGGCAAGTGGTTAAGTGATGAATCCTGTTTCCTACTTCAAAGGAGAGATGAGCGGATCAGCGTGCATCGGCAATGGAATGATTGTCATGGCGCCAGATGTTGCATACAAGAAGTTGACAGTTTCGGTGGAGGAAGTATCACGATGTGGGGAACCAGCTCACATGCATGTGGAGGAATAGATCTTTTGTTCATATCGACGACAACATGGTGTGCATTATCACAACTAGATCTTACGTAACTCTGCAAACACCAGGCGCCATTGTGCCAAATACTAGGTGACATTTTGCCAAACACCAGGCACCATTTTGCCAAAAATACTAGGTGACATTTTGCCAAACACCAGGCGCCATTGTGCCAAATACTAGGTGACATTTTGCCAAACACCAGGTGCCATTGTGCCAAATACTAGGTGACATTTTGCCAAAAAGCAGGCGCCATTTTGCCAAATACTAGGTGACATTTTGCCAAACACCAGGGGGTGACCAGGCGCCATTTTGCTCATCCCAACACAGCATGAGCCACCATTTACGGCAAGCATGGGTTGCTGAAGACCAATTCTATCCTGGATCTTCACAGCAAGCAGGCAGTCCTTCAAGGGACTGAAATGGGATCAAATATTATTTGTTAATCTGTGACAAACTTATAATGAAAATTATAGGATGTCAAGAAGACGCATTAAAAACTATTTTTGCTACAAAATTACTGATCGTGATATAGACTTACCTTGGCTCATTCACTTGAATGCATTCCTCAGTGTACATATCTTCTCACTCAGTGCGTCAGAAAACTGATTGGGTAATAACTTTAGCCTCTCAGTGGCAAAGACTGCAAAATAATGAATCATTTGAAATATTGTTGGCATATAAAATGTCATTGTTGTATTTAATATTTAAAGTATACTACTCAAAAGAAGTTAAGGATCACCTGATTCTTTCATATTACTATAGTTAATCACTCGTCATGACATATTTACTTTACCATTATGAAAGAATTGGGTGATCCTTAACTTCTTTTGAGTAGTATATATATCCTTTATCAGTGCATTTGTAATTCTGTAATACTGCTTTCTGGGGGTATTTATAATTTTTCATGATGGAGAATTTGAGTGATTTAGATAATACTTACTCCCTAGAGCCTGCAATACAACAGCCTGTTTTCTCTTAAACATGGCAGCAGTGCCTTGCCCAACGTCGGAGGGTTGAAAAAAAGTCTGTCCATGAATCGTTTCAGTTTGCAGCTGTCTCCCACATTGCCACAGTTTCCCATCACTTGGTATGCCCATGTAGGCTGGCTCCTTGGATCAAGCAGTTGGTAGCCTGATGGAAGTTTGTCATCTCCCCTGAGCTGAACCTGTTCACCCCAAAATTATAAGCAATTCAAATGACATGCAGTAGTGATTTAAAAAACAACTGTATGCTATGACAAGTGAGTTTTGTTCAATTTCCGAATCTGGAATGTCTTAGTAAGATATAAACAGTATATTCATTTACTTACATAACCGCATCTTGGCACTTGTACACCTCGAAGACGCTTGTATGGTGGCGGCTTAGTTGTGGCGTCTGCAAAATATTAAACAAAAAATAATAATTCTATGGGATACATAGTATTGTGAACAAGTAGGATAGCAAGCTGAAGATTTATTTTTTATGTTATTTATATATTTTATTTACTTAGCATTTAATTTTATTTTAACATAAGATTTCCATTTATTATACTGGACCGTGGTATTGAATATAATATGAATAGCAACTGAATATTTTCAAGCATCTTTGTTTCGACAAACCTGGCACATTTGTCTGAAGTTCACGGAGTTCTTCTTCGGCCTTAATGGCTCTGTCCCTCCAAAGGTTGAGTTCTGTTTGTAATGTTTGTAGCTGCACTTCTTTCAAGGAGCAGTCTTCGCAGCTTCTTAGAAGAGCTGTAAATGAGCCAGGTTCTTGGGCAGTTAGTTGAAGGTTTGGGGGACTGTTGTCATGCGTGTTGAAAGGGGTTATAGGTTGTGGTGGTGATAGGCCATTGTTGTGCGCTGGGGTGTTGGGTCAGGAAGGTATGGCTGGTTAGGAAATGCAAGGGGGGTGTAACGGTTCAAGGTGTGGGTATTTAAAAACACTATTCATCTAGTCCCTGCAAACTTATGTTGTGTGGGTTTCGAGAGCTTTATAGGACTCAAAAATACCACATACTTCTACACGAATGTGTGATGGCAAATGATCATGATGTAACTGTCATCGTGGAGTTTGGCGAGGTTGACGGAATGCCCGTTTATAATTTCAAAATAAGTTGCTGATTTGCTAATCGAATACACAGGGTTACTTCACAATATTTTGGTGATATGCACAAGTTTTATTTTTGTAGCGTATCTGTAATGTTCGTTGCGTATTTGATACGCTTGGATTTTATTTTACTGCGTATTTCTGCATTTCTGATGCGTATTTTAGGCAGATGCGCAGCTTATCTGGAGCTCTGTGTTCTAGAATAATGTAAAAAATGGTTTTGCAATTTACAAGTACTCAGTGCTCGAACACTCAAGTTTGAATTATTGCAGAGGTTGTAGACTACCTAACACAGGAAGATTATGTATATTGTAACACACCTCTATTCCTATAATTCCGTGTTAATAATTTAACATTAATTTTTTTTAATTAAATCTTTACCTTGTATGTGTATTAGGGCTGTTACAATGCACTTGCGTATTCGGTGACTCGAACTGTAACCTTTCATGAATTGAATTTGTTATTCATGGCCACTAGAATCGAATATTTTTGATTATGCTATCATGTATATTTACATACCCTGTACCTAAAAATATCCATAACAACATATTATATGCATAGATTTCTTTCAATGACAACACTCTAATATTATTTAATTTGATAGTATTGTTTTCACTGGCCATTGTCGCATTTGAGCAGATACAAGTACCTGGATAAGTGCAGTATATAAATGTATAATTTATTAATAATTAACAAACCTATCAAATAAGTATGATGTTATTGTTTCACTGAATATAATAAATACTACATAACTGCTGACTTGTTATTGTAATTGTGCATTAATATTCGTATTCATTACCCTATATTCGTGATATGAATCATAGTGTATTCGTTGCAGCCCTAATGTGTATGTGTGGACTCTGTAAGTAGTAGATCTAGTTACCCCGGTAGTTTCATAACTTATTTAGTAACAGTTCCATTAACCTAAATTTAAATTTACCCCTGACACTTAAAAAAACAACTGACCTTGGAGTACCACACTGGTGATGGTGGCATCATAAAAGTACCCAGTTTCTAGCCACCAGGCAGCAACTGGCATCTTCTCCTTGATCCCCTCCCACGTAACAGGCTCATCATCAGGAGTTGTGACTTCTCCCAAGTCTGTGATATATCTTTCCTTTCTGTCTTCAAAGAGCACCACTAGGAAGGGGGCTGAAAAGTCAAGTTGCATGCATTAATAACCTAAAACTAAAACTAAAACTGTCAGTCAAAGTTGACAATAACTTGCAAATATTACAACCTGGTGCCAGCCCAAAGATCTAGATCTAAACCGCAATAGCATGTTGATGGGGAAATCGGTCTAACGCGACGATTTTTTCATAAAAAAGTTGTTCTTAATAAACCACAATATTTACAGGGAAGATAGATATATTTCCAACAAATACAGTTCAGTACAAGAGTTTCCCTAACTTGAGAGTTGTTTAAAAAAATATCTACAAACCTCGTGAAAACAGGCAAATATTAGAAATTCAGGAGATAAGCATGTATCTTTTCAGTTTTGCAGATGATGTGTATTTTATGACAAGAAATTTCATTTGGAACTGACAATGAAACATTTAAAATTTTGCTGTTTAAGAAAACTCACATTATATAGTGTGATAATGATATCTAGTTGCCATTCTGACGCACAGCCAGCCAAAAGATGATGATGTTGGGCTGAAAGTATTGGCTGATCCTCTGGTTACGGCACTTGGTATCATATCAAAGTTACCTCGCTCACTCACTCAAAACTGATTACAGAGAGATGACCACGAACATACTCACTGGTTGCAGTTGTAAAATCATCTTACTGATAAAGTTTAAGAGTTTAGTTTCTAAGTCAAACATGTTGCCATAGAAACAGGAAAAAAATATTTTTAAAATTTCTCAATAGCAAAAGGCACCACTTCAGCCCCTGATTAATACATGTACCAAGTTCGGATGAAAAGTGTTGAATATGTTCTCAGTTCTGCTTCGGAAACGACACCATCTCTGTTTCAGCTAAGTCTAACTTGTTTCCATGGAAACGGGGGGAAATCTAATTTTGAAAAATTTGTAAATAAGAGAAGGCACCACTTCAGCCCTTGGTTAATACATGTACCAGGTTTAAAAATATTGAAATGTTTTCGAGTTGTGCTCCGAAAATGAAATGATTACAGACGGATGGACAGAGAGACAACAAGATGTCCACTATATCCCAAAACATTATATGTCCGGTGGATAAAAATGAATCACAAGTTTATTTGAAATAGATTTGAACTCACCTTACAAGTTTACTTGATACAAACAAAACGAAAATGATAAGTAATTGGGAGCTATCCCCCTTTAAAACATGCCATGGATTGTAGGGGAAATGTTGATGTGGCAGTGTCATGTTTCATAGTTTATCTGCATATATATGGTATTGGTTTTAGACAGTGTAGTTGTTGTATTTTATTGGATTATGTCAGGTACCAGTTTCCAGCATGATTGCTCCAAGCTGAACTTTGGCTGATCAGCACTTTTGTTTATTGTGAGGGTCGAGAGCAATCTTTTGTTTTGCTTTTAGAGGGCAAGCTTCTATACTAACACAAGCACTAAGTCTACTATATACAACTGCACTGGACAGTCACTGCATAAGACACGTATTGTGACATACAAGGATTTTCACAACTACATCTTTCTCTAAGGGTTAGTTTTAGTACTCAATTATAAACATTATGTAGGATGTAATATTTGTCTTAGTACATCATGTATAGCTTAAACATTATTTCAGTGTAGGATATACTTGTGTGATTTGAGTGTATGAATGTATTTTATGTCATTAGTACAGTAATAATTAAAAGCACACCATTCATGTTTATGATTTTCTGATATGTGAATGTACTATAATATTTTTATGATAAACACGACATATATAAGTTTTTGTGTCCACCATATTGTTCGCCAGGATAAATTAATCAATATCATTTTAATTTATGTATGTTTATCTATGACATTCTATTTGAGATTATGTTTAAAGTAGGTTGAGAATGAATTAATATGGCAGTAGATTACTATGTATATTATTTCATGATAGAGTGACATGTGTATGTTATTTATAGATGGATCTGCAGTGACAAGTGATTTTGCCTACTATCACCTGAGTGCCACACATTCGGTAGGCATATTAAACATTTTTATTGTTTATAATATATTTCATGTATGTATAATTTACATCTTGTATATAAAAGTGCATTGATGAAGTTTAAGTAATATGGAGAACATCGTGATTAATGTGGTGAATGCGTTTTAATTATTATATCAATAACGGTGATAAGTGCAATGTTTTAATGTGTATAACTATTTACTTATTATTTGTTCAATTTTGTGGCAGGGTGAATATTGATATTGAAAATAAACTTGTGGCTTCTTGGTCACCACTCACCCCCAGCAGGCGTTGGTCTTAACTGTGATATTTGCACCACCCTAACCTGCTACATTGAGATAAACAGTGTAGAAAGTGTAGTTTTCTTTATGAAGCCATTAATGATTGATACATAAAATGCATCCAAAATTTTGGCAGCTGTGCACATGTGTGTGTGTCTGCTTGTACCAGTCCAGAATACACCACTCAGACACAGTATACTGACGCTGTATCCTGAGCTGACCAGTCCTTGTTTTATCCCCTAAATGCCGAGCACCAGGCAGGGCAACAACAAGTGCCATTATTTAACATCCTTTGGTATGACACGGATGGAGAATGAAACCCCCGACATTCCGCTCTTTAGGCAGACGCTCTACCACTGGACCACTGAGGCGTTCACTATGGTTAGGAATAGGACTGTGACTGGTAACTCGGGTACCAGGATCGGGTGGGTACTGAGCAGGACCTGGGTACCCTCAGGTCTACCGGGACTCGTGGTTAGTCACGTGATATATTGTTTAATGATAAAAATGATCAACTCTATGGTTACACTACATTTCTTCTGACTTTTCATATGCTTGATTTAAGATATAACATAAGTCAACTTCAGTGTATGCATGACCAGATTGTTTAATACATGTATCTAAATACGTTTTGCCAGGGCTATGGTAGAAATCCCAATAGGACATTTTGTACCTATCTCTTGA